CAAGTTTAAGTAAAAACTTCTTGAATTGCAGTTTTGCTTATCAGTGAGAGACCTGGGTTCCATGGAAGTAATCCATTGTATTGATGCATGACACAAACCAATGGGGCCACAAAAAATAAATTACATATATTAAATCGTAAAGCGTAAAACAACAAACAAATCGACGTTTTTTAACACTGCGTTTAACAAATAATCTTGAAGTAGTAGCCAGACGGGAAAAATGGCCACAAATTATATCAAGATAAAAATTTACATCAGTCAATATTGATGATTATCGCGATAAAAGTCACATTATTATTTTCTTTTGATTTCCTGAGTGAAGGTTGTGGTTTAAAGAATGAAAAATTAAAAAGAAATATGTCTTATTGTTTCCAGCCCAACATGAAACCAAAAGGTATGCAACACTTTTACTGAAACCAAAAGAAAATAACCTACTTTAGAAAGACCTGTCTGTCTTGGAGAACCTGTTAATTCATATCTGTCAATAAAATTGACATCATTTCCGAGGAAAAACTGCCAGTGTTCATGATAACTTCATCTTTCCTTCCATATCCATTTCAGACTTTATGAAATGCATATCAGACATGCGATCCAGGGCCAGACAGATTTATCACAGTCCAACTGAAATAATGTTAAGAAGAAATATTGCTGAAATGTTAAACGTAGCGGACACAAGTCTGAGGGTCAGTTATAATATTCACGTGGCTCCTGCCTGTGTCAGGTTTTATTTGTTTTATAGCACTAAGTTGAATGGTAATCGTCTGATAATGAGGCAGCTACTCAGGCAAAGGAATAGTCAAAACGTCAGAAGGGACAAAGGAATGTCAGTAGTCAGAAAATACTCGCCTTTTGTACCGCAACAGTTTTCGATTCCTGACTCATCCAGCTTGGTACATTAAAATAACGGCACACACGCGGAAACAATTATGGGAATAATGTGGGGTGTTTTAACAGCTGTAGACTGGGGGGAGGGCAGGGTGAGAAGCTGCGGGACTCAATGAATCGTGCAATGACAAGAGAGGAGACACCTATCACAATAGTTACAAGCATCTCAGTCACAGATGACAGAAAAAAGGTACATTTCAATATCAAGTCAGAAACTAAAGTTCTTCACAGAGCCGGCGGTTTCTTGTGCCAGAGGATGGTTCAGTGAGATGTGTTCAGCTGAGTCGTTTTCACTGACACATCTTTGGCACAGCTGTCCTAAGAAAAGTTGAACCTTTGGACATTTTTACGTGCATGTGAAGCATTCGGTATAAAGTCCTTTTAAAGGCATTGACAGTTGACAGGTGTATGTCTTTGTTTTGAAGTATTGCCAAGAGTTTAGTTTGGAAAATTGACTCCATTCTCATGTGAGTGTGCTAAATATGAAACCAAAGTGGGCTAGCTTAGCTTAGCATAAATACTGGGGACGAGGGAAACATCTAGCATAGCTGTGTAGAATGTAGAAGTCAAAATATCCAGGGTATGAGCGATGCCATCTTGTGTTATTTCTCCCATACACACACTCGTCCAATCTGTGTCAGCTGTCAATCATGGCATCTCACAATGTTTGTGCAGCATCAAATAACTCATCCAAACCAACCTTGGCAGAAAAATGAACACATGGACAAAAACTACAGAAAATGTATTTAAGCTTGGCTAATGTCCAGTCCACCAACATGGAACACGTAGGGTTGACGACCTATGCTGTAGCCAGCCACCAAGGGGCGATCAAGACACCTTGGCTTCATTCTTTGGGAGCTGTAAGGAGCTGCAAAATGCTCGCCTTCCTCATACAACATACTCTGGTGGCCACAACCGATACTGCTCTCACCACATGAGCCCCTGGGAAAAGCACATCAGACGTTCACTCCATGACCCAAAACATCTGCTGCTAATATGGGTCAGTATTATCCCCAGGTCTCCACAAAAAAAATCTGCACATGACAACTAAATGAAAAACACAAAAGGCATGAATCAACCAGGCTGCATGTGATTTCCCAGCACTTGTAACAACATGCTGGAGAGCCTGCTGAGCTGTGAAATATCTAAACTAGAACACCCGTTGGTTCTCGTCGGCTCCAAAAAAGGCTCTTCCTGGGCCAGGGTCAAGCAAGGAGAGAGTCAGAGTCCCACAGAGTATTTACAGTACAAACAGCCGTCAAGTTATCATGTCTGGAAAGTGGTATTTGTTGTGACTGTTGTTTGGTGGGTTATAGTGAGAGGGTGAACTCAGCAGCAGGGGTAAAAAGCAATCAACATTTTCAGAAGTAGCCCGACCTGCCCTGAATATTCTGTGGATCTGCCTTCATGCAACACTATGCTAATTATTTTACCTTGAAATAGCAGCTCCAGAATTAGTTTGATGGTTCACTGACTTAGAATAGGGAGAATGTTGAATCTCACATTCCAACTACTGAGCGGGTACGACCTCTTAAGCCATTTTCATACACGAACTCCTGAAATGGGAGATACAGACTTTCAGGAGATTGTCCGGGTCAGGCGCGTTCAAAACAACAGGAAATGGTCTGCAGCAGTCAGTGAGGGGTGGCGTCTGGGTAGAGCATGGAGAAGGCAGGTCATGACGTTTATGTTTTTCTGCTGATATCATGTGTTTTTGGTTACAACACATCGACACCAGCATCTACCCTTATCACCAAACGTTCTTCAGTCTCGTTGTCTTCATCATCTCCCATTTCAGAATCACAATCTAGATGTAAAAGCCGCCTTATAACTTAAATGCTCTGAGTGTGTATATATGTGTGTGTAACTGTGTGTTTGTGTTTTCACCGCAAGCTGTGGATGCCTTTGCTTATCAGGTACTGGGACCTCTCCGAACAGCAAGAGCTCTGCTGGTATCAGGATTCAAAGGAGCACAAACATCTGTACTTGACATGAGCGAGTAGCTAATTGTTTCAGAGACAGTGATTAAGTGCATGAGTCAAACTATGAGGAAGAGCACTGATAAAGACGTCCATTAGGCGTCCTGAACTCTCTCCCACACTGTGTGAGTGTGCACTTTAAATAGAAACACTTGGTATTGTTGTCAGTCAACATTTACTGTTTGAGACAGAACTTACAGACACTATTGTCACATAAGTCAAATTGCGTCCAACACAAGTCCTCTAATCTCCTGCTGCCGCTCTGGTCCTATTTAAATGTTTTGTTCTTCTTCTGTGGTGCATTAAGACCTTTGGAGTCTTTACAATTAATTTTCTGTTCATTTTGTGGCAGGAAGTAGAGTCAGATGGCGTTTGCTGTAACTTTCCCTCCGTGAATTGCCTTCTTGTTCCAAAGATGCCAACCCCCCCCCCCCTCCTTCAGACGAAACAAGTCTACTGACCTTCCCCTAAATAGGGAAGTTTATGCAGTTGACCTTTGACTTTTACGTCCCCGTATTTATGTCTGAGAAAATAGTGAAATTATGACTCTTAACTCTGTCGCCTACATGTGTCTGGAGCTGCTCTGTGAAGACTGGGAGCCTTTGAGACCACGGGTCAATCTGTGACGCCCTTTTTACTTGTTTAATAGTGACACATTCAAAAACCCTCACATTGCCTTGCCAGGAAAAACTAAGAGATACAGAATCAAATAGATTTTAAAGCCTGTTATTGGAGTAGTTTCAGACTACTTTGAAAATAAGCTAATATGTCTTTTATGAGCGTTGGCTAATATAAAGAAAAATAAACATTTTATTTTTACGTTCAATTTACAATAATTATATATATTTAAGATTATTCATAAATAATTGTGATTTAACACAGTTAATGCAAGACATGATTCAAAGACAAGGAGATGAGACACTGCAGAAGTAGTTGCTCCTTCAGGTCTATCAGCAGTTATAGTGCGCCCCCCACAGGACAAAATGTTTTTTAAAAAAGTGCTGCCTGTGAATAATGGTGACATGAAATATAATAAATGCCATGGCCTCAGGTGTTAAAGCACTGTTGTGTTTAATTTAGCTTTTTGTTAATTTGTCTATAGGTCTTTTGTATAGAACAGGTCTTGCAGATGGAGAATAATCTCTTTGCAATTATCAAAATAAATTCCAGACGTCACGCTGTAAAAACAGATGGTCTCTCGGTACAATAAGTCAATTCATAAATGCAGAAAAAAAAGGCTCAAACCTAATGAAACAAACGCAAACAAAATCAAGAGAAGGGAAAAAAAATCTTGGTATCTTTACAGTGGAATTATACAATGGCTCTTTGACATCAACCATGAGGTGTCACCTCCGCAGCCCATGTCAGTACTCTCTGACATTGAGCTCTGAGTCATGTATGAGTAACAACTTCCCTCTGTCATCTGTTGGGGGTTAGTGTTGTACACGAGGAGCCAGCGTTGGCTTCTTTGATCGTCTTCCTGATGTGTGGTCACAGCTGTTTCACTCCACTCTTTTTCTGGCTCAATCAAGGGCGCTTGAACGCAGCGTGGTCCAACTCCAGAAAACAAGGAGCTGCCCGCTGCAGAGGCACCACTGAGACCCAATCAATGAGCAATCAGATTCCCCCTTATCTATTTGGCTTCGGCTGGATGTGGATGTTAATCAGTCCCATATCTCAGTAATGGTGTTCCTGTTAATTGCCTCCCTTCGTTGTGGCTGCATATTCCCCCTGCGCTTCTGATCTCTATCGGCAAATGAGGTCAGAAAGTCATGTGAAGTCTTCCAGGCCGACTATGATGACTCCGAACAGGGAAAGGTTGGAAACAGCTCTGTCCTCAGATCAAGGCACTTGTCGCTCTGACGTCACTGGTCTGTCAGGTCTCGTTGCTCATTATGATCCTTGTTTCAGCCTCAGTTTTCCAACAGGTCCTGGGGTACAGTGCTGCACATGAGTCTCGGAGCATGTGTTCCACAATGGGGAGATTTAGTCACTGTTCTTATCGTGAGTCAGTTCCCCCTGAGACTGGTGTGATTTGCATATGCACCGAGCCTTTGCATCTGATGCCCATCTCGTTAGACCTGGCAATGGTGTGATATCTGAACAGCTCCGGGCGAGTCAGCCGCCCGTCTGAGTGACATGCAAATACAAGGTAATGCAGATCAAGATCTGGTTAATCACATTCTAAGCCATGACTGGCGTGGGCTGACCTGGCCCGGTGCTAGTCAAGACCAAGTTAGGAGTTCATGCATGCTGCTGACACAGCATGACGAAAATTGAAAGATTTATTTGACAATATGAACTATGATGCAAATATGAGCCTTTGTAGCTGGAGGTCCACGTAGCTCGAAGGTCACCCGGGTCGTACGCAATCATCCTTTTGTCGCTTTCTCCCCAACCTCCAACCCTTAAACCTGTCTTTCACCGTGAAGGGGGTTAACTGTCACTTCTTTAAAGCCGCTCCTCATGCATAAGTAAACCTGCACCCTCCTCCCAGACCAACCCTTGGGCCTGATGCGGGGGAGCAGAAGGTCTAAGAGCATTCCTCTATGAAGACTTTCCCTTTTCTAACTTTGCTTTGATTTCACGCTCATCATCCCCCCTGCAGCTTGGCCTGTCCTTGATGAGACTGTGCTGCCTGATGAAGCTGAGCTGAGGTGCCGTGGTGGCATTGTCTCACTATGTCACAAAAAAAAAGGGGGGGGGGGGACGCTATTATCCCCAGTTTTCTGACGACCAAATCAAATTAGCAGCAGAGTGTCCTGCAAGCAGGGATGTCTCACCCAGTCAGTTCTCCTCATAATCCTTTGTTACTCGGGGCTGCCCAGCTGTTGTACTGCTGCCGCTTTCAAAGCCGAGGACCTTCCCTCCCTGATCTTCAACCTCCTCGCCCCTAATGATGCCCTCAAGGCACCAGGGCTGGAGGGCAGGTGGCAGGGGGAAAGGTCGCTCTGGATGGGTACGACTCATCACACTCTGACGACCTCACTCATCTCTTTTGAAGTACGGCACAAGTTAAAAGTCCAAAAAGATTTGTTTTCGCTCCAGTGGTGAAGACAGATGGAAAAATATATGGAGGAGAATAGGCTTCATGTTAAAAATAGATAAAAGGTATTTTACAACTATAACTGTTGGAGAATGAGAGTACATGCTTGAAAAAACAATAAAAACTGTGGGATCTCCATCAAAAACATAGAAAACTCATCTTCAGAAGAAAAATCTACAGGAATAAAAAAGACAAACCAATAGCTATTATTAACCTAAAAGTTAAGCTTAAACTCTGAATTATTTAAGTAAGAAGGAAGTAAAGTGAACAAAAATTGCATAAATAACTCTGGGCCCTGGTCCAGCAACCACAACACTGATACAACACTGACACCTAGTGGAGTTTTGATTAGATAATTAAAACACCACATTGTGTGCAGTGAAACATTAAACCATAGAAAACTAATAATGAATCATGTATTTGTCCTCATGTTCGCTCCACACCACGTGCTGGTCGTCGTGTGTTCATCACACAAACACTCAATCCCACAGAAACAACCTGTGACTCACCTGGAAGCTCAGGTTCGTCCTGAGAGAGTCGTTCATGTCTCCGGTTGAAAATCGTTTCATTCGTCCTCAAATCTGTGTCAGTGACCGGGTAGAGTCTGGGGACACTTCCTGTCCCCCCGTGCCATGTGTCCCCCCCTGTGTCTCACACACACTTTAACTAACGCAACAACCGCGAACTGATTCTCTAACTTCAAAACAATTACAAAACGCGCAGATGGCTAGCATTAGCGCGAGGCGGGCTCGTTTGAGTGACGTAGGTGACGTGAGACAGAGACTCGCGTGGGACGGGAGGTGCAGCGGGACTGTCTCTGTGGACATGAGACAAGAGAGTTAGCTGCTGGGTGTGTGTGTGGGTTGTCAGGAGGCAGAGAAACGTGCGGGATGAGGCAGGAGAAGAAAAAAAACGTGCGCCGCCCGGGAATCGAACCCGGGTCGCAAGAATGGGAATCTTGCATGATACCACTACACCAGCGGCGCGGATGCGGTTAGAGGTGACTGCTGCTTAATTTAGCCTATATCATGTTTATTAATTAATGTTTTGTTGCGCTATTGTTTTCGGTGTTTTTGTTTTGACTCGTTGTAAAAGTGCGATCGTGAATAAACAGCTCAGCGATTCTTGCGTCATCACTTTTATTTGGGAGAAAACAAAAAAAAACAAAAAAAACGGAAATGTGAACCCTTACGCTGAAAGGAACACGTATTCACTTCCGGGGGAGCGTGCTCGGGTTGTGCTGTTTTAGCCTGACTGAGATGTTTCACTGTTTTCAAAGCTAGTTAGCAAAGTAGCAGCGGGGATATATAGCTTCTGTGCAGAAGTAGGTGCAAACTTGTTCTTGTATAAATGTAGAAACTCTTCCTACTGCGTGTTATTCTGCTGTATAATGTCTCTAAGCTAATTCTGAGCGGTTAGCCTGGTGAATGTCCAATGTATTGTGATGCTAACTAGCTACATGTTGATGCTAGTGGGTTTCTAGCTGCGCCACCATGCTAACGTTAGCTGTTGCTCATCTTGTCGTGTTCCTTGTATCAGTGTGATTTCATTTAACCACAGATCTTCATGTAATCAGCCCACAGAGGCTGCACTCATGTCGGGCAGGAGCGACGAGGTGGAGTGGGTCGAGACAACCGAGGAGGTGGTTGAAATCGAGGAGTGTTTATCACCTGATGACAACACCCAAGGTTTCCATTTTCATTTCTGTTTTTAACACCTGATGACCTGATGTGGTTTCACACACGTGTTTGATAAATGTGTTGTTATTGTTGTGATTCCAGTTTTAGATGCAGCAGAAGAACCTGTGCAGAAGTTACTGGAAACTGTGGGGAAAGAAGAAACCTCAGAGGCTGATGAGGGTTTTTGTGAGTTTAAGATACTGGACTTACATAAAGTGTAGATCTGATCTTCATCCAGATTAACACAAAGTGCAGCAAATGATAACTCTCAAACATTTATAATCTTTACGAACATTGTGTCTGTAAATTGATCCAGAGAGATGTAAGTGAAGCCTTGGATTTACTAACTGGTTGATTCTACTGTGGAAGAATTAACCTCCAAATCTAACCCAACAATCATACACAGCAGTGTAGATCAGACCTGCAGGAGGAATACAACTTCAACTCTGTTTATAAATGGTTTAATATGGAAATGTATAAAGAAAATTAACTGTATTCCTCTGTTTTCTTTATTTTTCGCAGACTGTGAGGAGTGTCTTCCTCTCTTCCAGGACCAAAGTGGCACTAACGGGCCGTCTTTTATCCTTGACTTTCCAACGAGCGTGGGCATCCCCCAGAGGGCCCTCCTCACTCTGCCCTATGGGCTGATGATAGGCAGGTCCAGTATTCCCTGGGCAGGCGTCGGGGTCATGAATCATGGACCGGCGGTGTCTCCAGGAATGCACTTTGGACCATTTGAGGGGGAAGTGACAACAAGTGAGAATGCCATGGAAAGTGACTTTGCTTGGGAGGTGAGCTCAGAAAAGCCAAAGTGAAAATGAGTCTTTAATCGTGGTTTAGTGTCATTCTTATAACAATGTCTCGTTTTCCTTTTCTGCAGATTTACAAAGGAGAACATGAGTTTGAGTACATTGATGCTGCCAGGGAATCACACTCAAACTGGATGAGGTAAGTGATGGTTGTTATGTCACTGATGTTTTACACATTACCCTCATTTCTGAGGACATACACACAACCAATGCCTCCAAGGAACACTGGACACTGGAGGTAACTACAATGCTAATGCAAATCACACAGTGTATATAAAGATCCAAATCCAAGTTATCCCGGACTGACACATCCTCAAGTCACAAGTATATCAGTGGCTTTAGATCAGCTAAAGTAACCAGGAGTTAATCTTCTGTTGTTCCATGTTTCTAAGCTTCTTTCTTCAAACACAGATACGTCAACTGTGCTCGTAACAAAGACGAAACCAATCTGCTGGCAGTTCCTTACAAGGGCAGCATCCTGTTTCACTGCTGTCGCACCATACAACCTGGAGACGAGCTCATGGTGTGGCCCAGCGACAAGCTCCTCACCCACTTCAGTGAAGCTTGGACCCAGATGTGGCTTATGAAGTTAAATTCAGCAGGTACGATCACTCACTAGTCACAAACATATATATAGAAGTTGTCAGCCTGGATTTTATTGGCTGTTCTCCTATTAATTTGTCACTATTGTCATTTCACAATCACCATGATTTCAATATTATTTTCATATGTGGTCAAATGAAGCGTGACAGTAACGTTTTCCTCTTCTTCCTAATTGTAGAGAATAATACAACTTCGACATCTCAGATCTTCCTGTGCCCCCATTGTCAGCTTTCCTTCACTACAGAGGCCTTTTTCCATCGACACACAGAATACTTCCACACACAGCCTGCAGGGGGCTGTGCAACACCTGCCGCTGAGGATGCTGACCCTGAAAATCCCACTGCCGACCCCGACCCTAGTCCCTCTGTAGCCTCCCTGGTGGTGTTATCTGTCGATCCCGTCGACTCCAAAACATGTGAGGACTGCGGGAAGATCTTCAAGCAAATGCCTCACCTCAGGAGGCACAAACTTTGCGTCCACTCAAACAAGCGCCCCTACTGCTGCTCACAGTGCAGGCGAACTTTCAGCCAGGCATCTGGACTCATCAGACACCAGCTGGTTCACAGTAAGCAGACTGTGATTAAAGCTCCTAATCAAGACTGTGAGAAAGAAGAGACCTTGACACGGACGAGGTCAGAACTTTCTAAATCTGCAGATCCATCTGTAACTGATGAATCAAAGGAAATGAATGTAAGTGAGAATCTAGAAGAAGCTATGGATGTAACTGAAACAGAGAGGACATCTGCAGCAGAGGCAGAAACGTCTCAGTCCAACTGTTCAGACTGTGGAAAGAGCTTCAGGAACGATGCCTCCCTGAGAAAGCACAAGGCTACTGTCCATCAGATGTTGCGTCCGTACGTCTGCACCGTGTGTCAGAAGTGCTTCGGCCAGTACCACGACCTGACCAGGCATCTGCGGCTTCACCAGAAACAAAATGAAAGGAAAGAAGCAAAAAGTCAGGCTCCAGTTGAAAAAAGCATGTTGCCCTTTAGCTGTGGTGAGTGTTCACTGACGTTCTCCTCGGTGGATTCCCTCCAGCAGCACATCAGTGAGCTCCACTCAGAAAATACCACAGTGGAAATGCAGGATGATGTCGATAATGATCAAAGCCATGACGCTGATTTTATTCCACCTCCCTCCGTGGCTGAATCCGTCGAATCCACCCGGAAGCAGCCCTCTCAGAGGCCTCAGCGACTCGCGGCGAGATCTAGGATTTCTGACATAACCAAGCTCATCGCTCCAAAGCGAAGGGCAGACGCCGGCAAGAAGCCGCTAACCGCCTGCGCTCAGACCGAGCAGAGCAGCACTGAACCAGAAGCACCTGCCGCCAGGAACGTGAAGTACAAGTGGTTCAGCTGCAACAAGTGTAAACGAACGTATGGAAACCCGGATGATCTCAAAGCCCATAAGTGCGCTTTGAAACAGCTCAAGTGCGGTCAGTGTGGGGCAACCTTCAACAAGTCTGGCTTCCTGAGAAGACACGAGCAGACGGTGCACGCAAACGCAAAATCGTACCGCTGTGACCGCTGCGATAAAGTCTTCGTTACGCCCAGTAAACTGAAACAGCATCAGAAGAGCAACACTTGTATGAAGTATCACTGCACATCTGAGCCGTTTTCCTGCTCCTTCTGCCAGTTCTCCTTCACGATGAAGAGCTACCTCATCAAACACATCAAGCGGCACCACCCAGTGGAGTTTCTGTCACACTGCGAGTCGGACAGCCTAATGGATCAGCTGGAGGAAGAGCAGGGGGAGAAGGAACATACGTGCCCCCACTGCAGGAAGAGCTGCGCCAGCGCCAAAGCTCTCAAGTGTCACACGTGCTTTCAGCAGGTGAAGGTTCTGTACCTCTGCACCGACTGTGGAAAGGGCTTCACGAACCACTACAGTCTGAAGCAGCATCAGCGCATCCACACGGGCGAGAAGCCGTACAGATGCCCTCACTGCGACAAAAGCTTCTCGTACACCGGGCAGCTCAACGTGCATCTCAGGACCCACACCGGGGAGAAGCCGTACCTGTGCACCCACTGCGGAGAGAGCTTCCGGCAGTCGGGAGACCTGAAGCGGCACGAGAGGAAGCACACGGGCGTGAGGCCCTACAGCTGCCCCGAGTGCTGCAAGAGCTTCAGCCGCCCGCAGAGTCTGAAAGCTCATCAGATGCTCCACATGGGACAGAAAATGTTCAAATGCACCCAGTGCGGTAAGAGCTTTTCAAGAAACTATCACCTCAGGAGACACCATCAGAAGATGCACATGTAATCACATCACATAGTTAATGTTGAAGAGTTGCAGATATTTTATTTATGTCCTGTACATATGATTTAAACTTAAGCTTGAGTTTGTTTAAAGAGAAAGAAATTCATAAACAAACAAAGGATTCTCCGATTCAATTTATTCTGTTGATTAAGTCAATCTGAATAAAGTAAAGGAAGATGCACATTCACATAAACCAAATGCTCGTTTCACAATGTCAGCTTGCTTTGAAATAAAAACCATCTTGACCGTTACTGTTGACCATTTATTCCACAAAACATACAATGCAAAGCATGTGCACTGTACAAGCCTTAATATTATGAAAATACTCATAACCATGCCTTTTTTTCAATTTGTTAATCTTTGTTTTTGTCGTCATTTAGATCTACTACTTGTTTTACATGACACAGTATAACGTTGTCTATTGAACATTGCTTTTGTAAAGTTTTTGTCCTTGTTAGCTTTCTTATTTCCCCACCTGGACTATATTATAAATATTACGTAAAATATTTCAGTCTCACCTGAACTATACAAACATACTGGTATATGACAAGTTGACTCGAGTTTCATTTTAAACTGTGCGTAAATTGAAACAGGTAGAAACCTGGCAGTGTTTTCCATGTGCTACACACAGCGGTGCCAAGTGCAGCTGCTGGTTTGTTTTTGTTTAATTCTGCAACTTTGCTGCTGGTAACGGCTCCTTTAACACCCCGGCCCAGTAATGTTTCTCACATCAGTAGTCCTAACTAATACCAGTTACACAAGTCCTTGACAACATCCATTTTTAGAAGGGAGGAAAAAAAGATCCATTTTCATTTGTGGCACAGCAGTAGTGGAGGCTCGTCTCTGTGGTCCTTTTTTTTTGTTGTATTTTCAAAGAAGCGAGGGGTTGAAACTGGAGGATCGGTCGCTCGTTACTGAGTCTTAATGTGTAAAAAATACACAAACACTTCTGAAAGGTAGGCAGCAGGTGGTTTTCAAGGTTAAGTGACAAGACCCCTATGAAGGTTGGGTTACCGTTTGTACAACTTCAAAAAAACAAAACAAAAACAAAAAAAACCGTCTCATTCCCGTTTAATTCCTCCGTTCCAGTGAAGCACCCGGTGTGATGTCTTCTTCAGTGCAATCTCCGTCCAATTTACACGTCTTCGTCACATAAAATATACAACAATCCTCAATCTCATTAGTTTATATTATGTTAAATGTTATACACATAATAAAAATTTTTACAAACCAAATTGATTGTTAAACCACACAGTATCACATCTGTACAAACTCAGAAAATAAAGAGGTCACGAAACTAGTCAAAAGAAAGGAGGTTTTTTTTTTTTTTGGCAATTAAAAAGCAACAGCATGGTCTGTCACAAAACAACAAATTAAGGGATTAAATACTGAACTTATAAAAAAAGGAACATTACATCTAGAGCTCAACAGAGTCTGTATTCGTTGATGATAAGATCCGTTCTTCACGTTCCCATTAATGTTAACAGAAAAACAATGATTCCGAAGGGTTGAAATGACTGAAATACAAAGCCTGGGCAGGGTGGGGGGGGGACACATGTACAGTATGTGACCGGACACCAAGCTCAGGTCGGAGAGAAGAAATACCCTGCGGTTCATTGCAAGTACTACAACACAATCGTCTACTTCATCTGGTGAAGTTTCTGCTTTCTGAGACACACGACGGAGAAAAAAAGAAAAAAAGGCTTATAAAGGTTCCGATTTCAGCTCCTCCACCCGGCACTCCAGGTCCGCCACCTACAGAAGACACGTTTAATGAGCAACTGCACTTCAGGTAGGGTTTTTTTTTTTTTGAGCTGTAAACTCAGTATTTGTATGTGGATCTTTGATGAAACAACACTTTGAACACAATGTGTGAGTCTCATCAGGGTTTTAATAACAACCCAGACTGAGTAAATATGTTCCTCTTGGGGTTTTGTGGTTGTCGCTAAAAACTAATTCTAACGCTTGTAGAAATGTCACAAGTCTAACTGAGTCTTGTCAGACTGTTCTCACAAGAGCTGAAAAAAAGCTGAATTCTAGCAAACGAATTTAAGACGTGCACATTTATATATAGAAGAAACGTTCTGCAAAGCACGTCGAACCTTCTGATTTTATATCTCTCTCTCTCTCTATTTTTGACTTTCCATTTGCTCGTAGTTATTATTCACACAGCTGCCCGTTGACTATATCTGAGAGTGAAAGCTACGAGCACTAGTGAGGCAGCCTATGTTACCTGCAGTACCTGTTCTTGAAGCTGTCCTGACTCCTCTTTCAGAAGGGAGGCCTCAGCCCCAACTTGTGCACAACGCTGGGTCTCCTTCTTCAGGTACTCAATCTCCCTGATGACGGCAGAACATGACAGATTAGCTTAACTCAAATTTAATACACATGTCATTCTGTAATAATTCTGTAATTCCAGCTTCTTACTTCTGCTGATATTCCTTGATCAGCCGTTTGGCTTTGCTGTACTTGCGCTCCAGGGCCTGGTACTGGGTCTGCGTCTCCTTCAGGTGCTCGTCCACCGCCTGGCACAGGCTCTGAGCCTCCATCCAGTAGCCCTCCAGCTTCTCCATGCGCTCCTTGTTCTCCTGCAGCGTCTGTTCCAGCTGAGCCTTATCCATCCGCCAGCGCTGCTTGTCCTGCTCCGCGTGGTGCAGCTGGAAAGACGGTGAACAGACACACAACCTCTGAGCTTTAGAATAATCCTGTAGGACTAGTATAACATGTTATCTAGTGTAAGATAAGTAATAAATAACAACATTTAACACCTTACCTTTCTTTTCAGCTGCTGGATCTCAGCCTGCGTCACAGCATGCTTTATTTGGAGCTTTACAGCGGAGAGACGACAATTTTAAATACATGTGTTAATTTAATGTACACGAGAGGAAACGAGCTGTGATTACACGAGACAAGTTCCAGTTGAATGAGGAGACGTCTGCTCACCTCTTTGTATTTATGGGCCAGTTTCTCAGGATCCGTCTCCAGGGGCGACATGTCCTCGTTCTCTGCCAAGTCAAACACCTCGATGGCGCTGGGATACGGCGGACTGACCTCCTCATCCTCATCCTCTTCTTCATCTGTGCCATATTCTGCACCCTGCAGGGAGGAAGGTTACAGAGCTGATCTCCACCATCTCATAACTAACGTCGTGCAAGTGGGACGTGACGTGTGGACGGATCAGCCAAAGAGGTCTGTGTAATTTGGATTGCTGTGTAATAACATAGCAGTATAAGGACACTAGATGGTGCCAAACTCAAAAGAGCAGACTGTTCTTTCCATTAAACAACTGACTGCTTTTCAAGAACCACCCACCAGCCCCCCCTTCATGGATGGGGAAACTTCCTCTCTATCATCATAATAAAACTACCGGTAGTTTTCTGCACTCGAGTTCAGTTTCAGTAAAATTAAATCTGAGACACAACGATTAACAAAGCGAACGTCCTCCTGCGTCACTAAATTTGAGTCATCCTGATTTGTCCCCATTTTGGAGCTCAGCTTATGTTTTAATCAGACTGATACTACATGCTGGACGGACAACGGCGTGGCTTCGCGCCAAAATCACACACTCTACGCTGCCACACCAGACCGAGGCGCTTCTGTTCACAATGGCGCAGAGTAACATTTCATAATCCCGAAGGGGAACCAAGGACACGTGCGGCCAACGAATGATTTTGTGCTTGAACAGGCTGAAAATGTTACGTAAACTTTAAGACTATTCAGCGATTTCTTTTCGTTCTGTTGTCAAGTAGAAGTGTTTCCTGTTCTTACACAGAGCGTTGATCATTCATTCACATCACTGGATTTAATATTGACAAGAAAACATCTGAGCTGTAAAAACATTCAGGCTAATCACATACTTTGTCTTATTTTCTAAAAGTGTTTCAAAAAAAGTTTGTTGTCCAACTATGACGTTAAAATCTCGAGAATCTGTTTTGAGAAATTAATTCATGAATGTATGTGTATGCATGCAAGTGGTGGGGGAGGGGACGTAAGAAAATGTATTAGTAAGCACTGCACACTCACTCCTGCACCGTGCACATGTGCACACTGCTGCACCACCACCGATTCGAGGGAGTTTGCATTTTCCCCCACCCCAGAATGTCTGACTGACCTCCTGCTCGTCCATGTACTGGTTGTAGCGCTGCTCCATCATCTCCCTCTGCCAGCGCTCCTGCTCCAGGGTCTGCTGGATGAGCTGGGCCACTTCGCTCTGCTCGCCCGGCTTCTCTCGCCCGATCACAAACCTGGGTTTCGGGAAAATCACCATTAAAAACAACATCCCCGATGAGCCACTTAACCCAATCATGTTCGAAAGGGCCACGTCCTACATCTGACATGGTATAACGCTGCGTGTGCATGATGAATAATACATGACGACCACTGTTTTTCATATATAATATTCTGCTCAGAGCTTCTTCCTGTTCAGAGGTAAACAAAGGCAGTCTGTGTGTCGTCGGCCTCGTCTGCGATTAAGATCAAACCCGACTCTGGTTCAGCTCATCGTACAGTTCATTACAGAGGCTGCAAGCTTCCTGATTGAGGTTCATGAATGTTTATCACATATATAGACGGTGAAGCAGGGAAAAGTGCAGTGACTCACGATGAAGACGGTTATTAAGCTGCAGCCTTTCAATTTCTGCTGCACTAACGGGTAATTAAATGACAAATACACTTCCTGTTTCTGTCTGTGTGTCTCCCTGACGGTTTTTTATTTTTATTTTTATTTTTTTAAATAGGCCGGAGCCCTGTGGTACCTTTCACCACCACTGCAGCAGATCCATAATGGATGAGCCATCTATGGAGGCCTCAGATCTTCACAAGTCACACAACACTAATAATTACAGCGCTGACCACCGAACCCTGAATTATGAATGAGCTTCACTGACAAAAGCGGCACAAAGGGAACAGACCGCTCCACCCAAAACGCCAAAGAGGCTACAAATAGACTTCTGGCATTTCAAATCAATACCTCTGATGCCGGCCGGCCTGATATTTTCTGTGGAATCTTCAGGCCTTATCATCTGAATGTGTCCAAAAGGAGCTTTTCATTACTGACGGGCAGCCATGACCCTGTGAGACGCGAGATACACATCTACAGTCTGAATGAGCAGGATGTGGTCGAGGTCAGTCCCCCGTGTGCAGACTGACTCTTACATCAGGAGGAAACCACCTCTTTGAGCAAGAATGCTGTGTGTCACTGTGGCAGTGGAACTAAATGACCTTGTAGTCACAGCCAAAGGCTTTAAAAGGAATAGTTCACCAAAAAAGGAAAATTCACTTATTACCTACTCACCACTGTGACGACCAGTCCAGTGTGTGTATGAGTTTCATTTTTGGGTGAACTATCCCTTTAACAGACCAAGGCCACTGCAAAGGTTATGTGTAAAAAAAAAAATAGCTGCTAAGAGCTAGCAGGGCCAACATGCTAACAAAGACAAAGCTAACAGTTATCTACCATGTTCACCATTTGGCTTTGGCGCGTTAGCTTGCTAGCATTTGCTTCAATTTCTTTACAAGTGAGTCAGTGTTGTTGCAACGAGAGCATGACTGGTGGGAGGAGCTCTTACTTGACGGTTCCTGAGGTGTTCCTGAGTACATTGGCGGCAAAAGTCTGGGTGACTCCAACCAAACTGGTCCCGTCCACCTCCACGATCAGATCGTTCACCTGGATCCTGCAGGACAGCGCCCAGGGAGAAATGTAGGATTTTACAGTTCAACTGTTGTTCCACTGAGTGAAACCTCTTCATACCGACGCCCACACAAACCGAGCTCCATTTATAAGTCCTCGTGCACGGCAGCGAGACGCGGTTGAAGTTGGCGCGAACAAAAACGAGACCATGAAGCGTCCACTCCTGGAAATAGCTCACCTCGTGTTCACATGTGTGTGCAACGCAAAGGCTGCACGCAAAGTTTGAGCGAGGGCATTTCATTTTTACGGGGTTTCTTCACAGGAAAGTGAATCTAACAAACTGAAATGCAGCTTTTGCAAACTATGTTCAGTTAACGTCTTTAAAAGAAAACTTCGAACTTTCTTTCTTTTGTTTCTTTACTTTTTTTATTTCCTTTTAAATATAATTTAACATGTTTTTAACTTATAATCTGTTCTCTGGCATGAATTACATTTTAACATGTTTTCATCTATATTTTGTCTAAAGCACTTTGAGCTGCATTTCTTTCTATCATTATTATTATTATTATCATTATTATCGTTATTATTATTATTATCATTATTACCTGCCATCCCTTTGTGCTGCTCCTCCGTCTGTGACCGTCTTGACGAAGATGCCCAGCTTCTCCAGGCCCATGTCAGCTCCTGCACCCATCCCGATGATACTGATGCCCAGGCCATCGCCATCTGAAAGAGAGCGAGGAACGTCAGCCCTGCCGTTACCGCAGGGTTATCCACGTTTTACAGGTTTGGGGTTAAACTATACAGTAGAAGTCTGAGGCAGTGACTTCACGTGAGTGTCATCACCGTTGAGATTTACATGTTTGGTAATAATCTGTGGCTGTGGACTGAAAGATTTGGTATTTTGCTCCCTGCACCATCAGTTCAAAGGAGCAGCGCTTTACCACAGAGGAGAACAAAATTAAAGGTGTTTAAGTTCAAGTTAAGTTTGTTTCTCACTGTAATGAGAGTCAGTTTTTCACTTCATACATTCTTTTCCTTCACTGCCTTTGTCGGAGTATAAATCTATCGATGCCACAAGAGGACCAAAGACAGCTCTTGATGTCATCACCTCAATGCGTAGTTATGTTTTTTGGGGAGGTGCAGCTCAGGGTTCCGTGCGTATTCCACGCAGAAGCATTTGAATTGGCTTAACTAGCGCCTTTGTTTTTACTTGACTGAATCAACAAAGCCAGTACACACAGCAGAAATATTTTTTATATCTAACATATGGTATCCTGTGTAATCTGCCCTGTACACAATTCTAAATATAGTTTTCTATAAATATATTAATGCACCATAATGTTGGAGGGATGGTGTTGGTGTGGCTCACTGGGGAGAAGGTAAAACCATTGCACTGTCTTTGCCCTGTGGGAAACAGGAGGGCTGACAGACGGCAGAGTGTGAACACTGAAGGCCACTTTAAATTACATTTTCAGTGAACCAGATTATTTTGGTTTTAAAAATCATGCCTCAAACTCTCAGTGGGGAGTTAAGTTACGCTTTTTCTGTGAACCATAATGTTAGGTACCTTTCTCCAGCTCTGCGGGGAACAGGTCCAGCCTCTCCACCCTCTTCTCCAGCTCGTACTCGGCAGATGCCGCCATGGGATCCACGTCTTCGTTACGCCGGTCATAATCCTCGTTGGGGTAGGTGGCAAACACCTGCAGGAGGAGACAGAAACACTCGGTCAGACAAGGTATTGATTCTTAATTATTCTTTATATACAGTCTACCTTTACCTGAACATAGATTTGGGGATTTCCTGGAAAAAAGTGGGTGTTTGTTCTGTCAGGAACAGTTTGACACTTGCGCTTATTTGCTTGAATTAGATGCAGAGACTCGAATCTCTCGATGTAAAGCTGCTTTCAGACATGCACTGTAGTCTGGACATTTCCCCGAGTGAGGCCTCCTGCTGGATTCAATGTCCGGACCCAAGTTTCTTGACATTTTCCAAAGTTCACGTCTCATAAAAGGCTCAAGTCAAGCCAGACGACAGTTAGCTTAGCACATAGCATCAATGAGTCATTTAATTCTTGGCAAGAAAACAGATAATGTCCAACTCTTCCTTATATTGATAACCTTCCAACTCAGTGCTTTGTTTTAACACTGCAGAGAAGTCACCACCAAAGGTCGAATCCTTGTTAAGCCCGTGATAAAATGAAATTTGCGTTTCCGTACGGGCCCCTCTCTTTTCTTTGCAGCCATGCTGACTTATCACTGCTTTGTTCTACTACCCGGTTCTTCTTGGGTTGTTTCCAAATATAGCAACTGCTACTGAAAATGCACGACTTCCTGTGCACTGCGGGGAGTGTTGTAAACGTTGAACCACTCGTGTGTTCCAACGGGTGAGAGGGAAACACGTATTTACACAGAAAATGTGGAAGATTGCATATTAATCTTGTTATTGCATGAATGTTCACATTTAAATCCTGACATCTGTCTCTGCTTAAGTTAATAGAAACTTGTTAGATTGGAAATCCAGTGGCAGACTTTTAAATGAGTTTGTTATCATTTAGCTGCAGCAACAATTTGACACAAAACAGCTTCTCAAGTGAGTCTTGTTTATAATCATTTTTAAAAAACCTCTGTCAACGCCCAACAGTCCCTTTATGAAATCACATTTCTGCACCAAATTCTCACACACACACACACACACACACACACACACACACACACACACACACTTAAATATCAGTCCCCTGAATTTGCCTGATCATTATTGTTAACATCCATGAACTATTTTCTCAGAAATCCAAATGAAAAAATGGAAACCCCCTTAATATCTAACAAAGAAAGTGAAAGAATATTTCCCAGATCAAACTCCAAAATTGTCACTGGTTCTTCCCTGAAGAACTGATAATAACTTACCACCGCTGTTAATACAGACATAATTCAATTGAAATTCATCGACCAGCTCAACCGAGGCGGCCGCGGTTTCCTCGAGGCCTCGGAGCCGTATCATTTCACAGCGGTAATGTGCACCGAAAACACTGTGGCGAAAAAAATCAATCACAGCCACTGAAGTTGCTCACATGAAGAGAGAGAGAGAGAGAGAGAGAGAGAGAGAGAGAGGCCTCTGTTTCCAGGGCCAGGCTTCCCACATTCACTCCGGTCTAACAGCATGACAGTTTACATAACCACCTCCAGCATGCTAATGGAGGCCTTCTGCAGCTGCACACACACACACACAGACAGACACACTCACACACACACAGACACACACACACACACACACACACAGCTGAATGTTTAAAAGCCCTCACTTCTTCCGAGGTGATTATGCATGCACCACCTTGCACGGTCCACTAGCCTCACTGATTCAGAGCCGGACCTTCTTCCTCTTCTTTCACACATTCTTTCTTTACTTTATTTAACTTCAACACTTCTCTCATCCCTTTGTTTTCTTCCGCTGCCGCATTTGAACACTTTTATTTTCTCTCTTTGTTTACTTTGCTCCGTCCCTCTCTGGCTGCTCCCTCAGCTGTTCAGTTTTTCCATCTGCGTTACAAACGCTCGCATCTCGTAGCTTCGGTGCGACTCATCCTCGTCTCCCTGGCAACCGCACAGTAAAGACCCTGTCAGTTCTTGACAGCGGCTTTGAAATGAAACCAGCCCCTCCACTCTCCATCCGTTCAGTGTGGTTGTATTTTCATGCATCATCGAACACTGTACAAGCTTCTACTTTGAAAGCCTTCATCACCCACAGGAACAGAGGTCAAGATACAGTTTTCACCAAATCACTGTCTCATCATCACACAAGTGGTGACGAGGTCTTCACCTGCTCGCGATGGGCAGAATTGGCGTCATTTTCTAGACCCGCATTTAAAATGCTAAATTATCAAATTACAGTTTCAAGCTTCTCCGATGTGGATTAATTTCATAGTAAACTGAATATCGACGTATTAATCCATGATGAAAATAAGAATTATTTGAGAATACAGCCCCACTGATATGATTTAAATCACAGTTTCTGGCATCAAATTCGGACCTAACCCTGCTGCCGATGACAGACAGCGTGGCAGCAGCACGGACGTCTAATGGCTTTTGATTTAGGTTACCTTTGTATTTAGAGGGATTAGCAGAATGTGGATTACAGACGCACAAACTACACTGTTTGCATCCTAAGTAAAAGAGCATAACAGCGCACGCCAGGCCTGCGTGGCCACAGTGCACCGCTTCACTCCTTGAGTTTAAAGATCAAGGGGCCACAGCTGGTGGATCGGCGTGCCCTCATTTCACAGCCACGACGCTGCAGAGGATCAGACGACGAGGCTCTGCTGCGTTTAACGTGGCACTGGAAAAACATTCAGGACGTGCGCTGTGACCCGCAGCCCTGAGCGAGTTCGAGGGCCGGTGCCTTGCTGAAGGCCTGGCTGCTCTCTCGGCCTCACGGACACTTTCACTCCCTGACGTCGACAATGACCCCACTCTGGGGCAGACAGACTAATTGGATCCCAGCATGATCCAACATTTTTCCTCACATTTAGCAGCAGCGTAGTGGAAGAACTCCTCGGACAGAGAGGTGGCTATCTTTGGAAGACAAACACTGGGATTAAAGGCAGGGTGGCGGAGGAGGGGGGGTGGAGACGGACACTGTTCCAGTTGTGGCAGATAGTAGGTCAGAGGAGCTAACAGATGGCCAGGAAACTCCCTTCCTCCCTCCCTCTGTTACCAGCAGCCTGGGATGTCCTACAAAAGCTCAGCTAGGAGCTCTGGAGCCTCTCGCCAGCTAACAGACTGTGTTTGCATCTATAACGACGCCCGCTCGGGACAGTAACGTGTATAATAGAAAACCATTATGTGACAGCTAACACTTTACAATGCAGCTGCCGTGACAGAGGCGATGACTAAATGATAGAGCTGCAGCGGAGGCCTTGGCTCTCCTGCAGCGTGGCTGCATCTTGATGGACCTCTGGCTACACTGTGATGTAACACCGTGGTGGTTAAACTAACAGGACGGTGCCCCCCCGCCCCCAGCCACACCGCACCCCACTGTCCACAACAGCATGTCAACCGCCATGTTTCTTTTGCTTTTCATTCTCTGGAGGCAGATCTAATTTTGGATTCAGCCAATAGGATGTGTGGGGGTGGTGCCATTGGTTTTTCACAACAAAAATAGCACCTTTCCGCTCAGTCTCCCCACAACACCCAACTTTCCACAACTTTTATTACCCTTTCCATTCTTCCAATTGTTTCAGCCGGTCTCCACTTCTGCTTTAAAACGCTGCAGTGAATTAAGGTGATTACCGAGCATGACGGTAGCGCTGTGAAATGGCTGCTCCTGCTGTTTAGTTAGACATATTAAAACCAAAAGAAGCACTTCTCCTCTAAACGGCCCAATGACACCTCCATTAATTGCTTTCCCAATCGACCACAGGTCAAACATGTCCAGAAGTGGCAGGTAATTGCTTCTAAATCCTCCTCAAACTGGGGGTTAATCCAGATCCCAGATGTACGACACGCAGACAGAAAATAAGGATGAGGCCCCTCGTGGACGCCACCGCACTGGGCCACTCTCCCCCAGCCAAAAAAATGGATAAAGTGGGCTTGTCATCGTAATGGTTGCATGGCAGCAGAGTTCATCCATTTTGGCAGGCCAGTGTTTGGTCAGCAGTCGTATTTAGGCTTAGAGCTTACTCCGGGGAGAGACATGACAGCAAGAGAATAAGGTCAACAACAGACGACTCAATTGTATGTGGATGATACAGAGACTTTACAACTACATGACTATACTGCACACATCACTGTATGAATATTTATCTAGATATACTAGTATTCCTTACATTATTCTTTATTTGTATTAGACTACAGTTTTTTTCTATATATGTATATTTCATAAATAGTTACCGCCGCTACCTCCAGAATTTGTTTAAGTTTAGAGCAGATGCGGAGGTCAGACAGTATTATCTTAGGCAAAGAAGATGTATGGTCTTCGAAACTTGAAGGCTTCAGTGCAGGTGCAGCCTCACAGATCAGTGCAACCAGCGTCTGTTGTTCTTTAAAAGCTCATCAAGACGAGGGCAGGTTGGATAAGATGAGACGAGCACTCAGACATCATGAGTGAGGCGTTGCATAACGTGGCTTGTCGCAGTAAACTGAGCCAACGTGGGCGCATCACGCTAAAATGCTTGCAGCCCACCACCACCACCACCGACACTGCAGGGCTGAGAAGTGGGACAGAGTGACCTTGCTGATAATCCATCTGCTCTGCCGCCCCTCCTGGCTGCGAGCAGCGCACTGTACGAAACGCCTCCGAGTCTAAGTAATAGACAGTTTGAGGATACCTCAGACATATGGTGATGCATTACCTCTCCCCTGGGGCCATCGCTCACCGGCTGACCCGAGCGGCACACATCAAACCGCCAAAAGGTTGCATTATGGGTATTCTTTGTTTTATAGTTTGTGATGGCAACCTTTAAAATAAACTCTATTCCTCCTCGCTCTGTTTGTGAGATTTCAACACCCTCACTTTATTATGATATAAGAAGAGTGATGGTTTGTGTTAATGATACAGTGTGAAAGAAAATCATAGGTGTTCTTTGAGCAGGCTGGAGGGACGGCTGTGTGTAGGCAGCAGACACCCAGGTGTGTGTCTGTGTGTGTGTGTTGTGTTGTGTTGATTGAGGGGAGTGTTAGAGTAGGCACTGAGTGAGCGAGGTGATTAAGGTGCATGAAAAATAAATCTGATTATTTTTGGTTTGGAGGGAACACAGTGTCAATCCAGAGGAGATTATCTATTTTATCTTTTACGACAAAAACCAGCACAGCACAATCGATGATTTAAAAAAATCACCACATGCCACAACATGAACTTAACCATACACTCACACCGAGTGATTAGAGAAGGAAGCCTAAACAACTAGAAAATAAATAAGACGGCTTCCTGCGTTCGACGGGGAGGCAGCCCTGAGAGGCGAGGCGGGTCTGTGACGATAACAATGCTGCTATTTTTACTAACAGTAGGAGACTGGTGACAAAGAGCGAGAAGGGAGCGAGAGAACGAGCGTCAGGAGGAGCAAACAAAGGCTCGAGTGTGAACTCTACCCGGAGCAGAGCTGCTATTTTTTGCCGGCTTGAGACGACGAGGAGAGACAGAGACGAGCGTTCACAGAGACAGACATGTGCCCAATGCGTCCAACCGCCATCTCCACAACAAGACGTAGCTGTGGCCCAGAGCTGAGGGGGAAATATGCACTGAAATAAAT